ACGCTCTTACAAACATTCATCCTAAGTTCGCCGATGTCCGGAAAATGGGCGCGGTGTTGCACTCGAGAAGGAAAACATTGCGGCAGGTTCCACCTGCTAATTTTGTTGAACAAACATAACAAACTGCCGTCACAATGAGCCGCACTGAGAAGGTGATTATCGCTAACACACACAAACCACTCTCTAAATAATTTCCAAGTTACATGTTACCTAAGAAACTTGAACAGAATTAAATGTCGATGTTGCATGTTGATAAAAATAATACATATACACCAAATGTATATGTTTATCTTAAAAAATATATATTTTTTTTTTCTTCAAAGACCTATTAGCATATTTTGCAAACGATTCGTAATATCTTATTTTTATCATAACATCTTAAATTACACAATAATGTAAATTTTCGTAACAGAATGATTTGATATATGTGCAAGAGGCAACTCGTACATTATGATTAGTCGAGACATTTTGACGTAAAAAAAGGTTGAGTTAACCCGAGGATTAAGTGCGAATCATGATTTATGCGCTAATATCGCGCTGCAATGAGATGGGAGATTTTAATATGTTTTTCCATGAAAGAGTCCCGGTCGTAATTAATTTACATTCGCGCTCGACGAGAGAAGTGTGAGCGAACGTAGCGAGAGCCGGCCGCGACTTTGGTGCGCCGCGTCATTAATAATAATCCTGGAATTAACAAAGGAAGGGGATGCAATATTAAATTGAGTTAGAAAAGCCCTGTTTTGTTGGCATCTACCCTCACCATATTTCCTCTATCTTTCTCTCCTAATTTGCCGAGAGATTCTTCTGTGCAATTTGCTTTGCTATTATTATAAAAGCTGAGCTAATTACACGCCGTATTCGTCCATCAAAGGCGGTATCTTTGACTTCATCTGGAATATGGGAACGAAATTATACGAGACGCAATGCGTGTAGATCCGCAACGACATGTGTGTGTTGTATAGAGGGTATAATATACTTTAATTATTTTTTATAAGATTATAGAAAGCAATTAAAATTTCCATACAGTGGTTTCCACATAGCCGAACTATAATCAAGTACATGTTAAATTATTAAAGTCAGCCTCGCCTAGATAAGGACGTGACTTAGACTGTGTTAAAGGTTAATTCAGAAGCATTCTCGAGAACCATCCGAAGGAGTGGTTAGGTTCGCTACTCGAGTGCAATGTGAATACTTCGCGGGAGAGGACAAATGATAGCAGAGAAGGAGATCTCTGTGCTTGTAAAGAGGAGATTTACGATATTCGTAGATCTCTCCAAACAGATCGCGCGCAGCTTTCATCGCCGTCTCAACTTGTAACTTGAGCACGTGGAATCGTCTAATTCACACACAATGCCCAGACATTTCAATTACCATTTCGGTATTTCGAGATTCGCGGAAAATCGTTTATCAACTCGATCCGTACGTAGAAATACACATGGGAACGTACGAAATAATAGCGAAGAGACGCGGATACGCGCTCGTAGAAGACTATCGCGTAATAACAAATATAAAAGCAGCGGTACCGGATATACACGATGAAAGAATTTTTCTCGGAATTTATTACGGATTTTTCCATTACAATCTACGTCGCCTCGTGTACGAACGTATTGCGTTCTTCTCCGGGCGCGGTTTGTTCGTCGACCGTTTTCGTGGTTGTCTCGGGTTTCGTGGAGAAGCCGTCTCTGGGAAAGAAGCGGTTATCAGTTTGACAGTGACGCGGTTAGAGGAGGAGAGCCGAGAACGTGCGGGCGAGTAGACGAGAAAGCGATGTAGGACGCGCCGAAGTGGGGTTGCGAAGGCATTCAATTTTCCTCTTCTCGCGGACGGAGGGCGGCACACACCCTTCTGTTCGGAGCTGTCACTCCCTGAGAGTTATGGTCGCCGAATGAGTGGCTGGGGCGGGCCAAACGTCGCATAACTTACTTCTTCTTCTTCTTCTTCTTCTCCCCCCGTTGCCGCGCTCTTTTCCAGGATGTCTATAAATACGAGAATCGAACCTGCCTGCTTACCCCAGCTACTCGTAGAAGCGACGAGGAAGGGCCTCTCGTTACCCGCGCTGGGATGCTGCACGTCGCGCGCCGCATCGGGCACGTACCGGAAGAAGCGCGGCGCGAGGACGATCGATCTCCGGGAATCTTCGGGATCGTGCGTCGGGTAGCGTTGATTATACTAGAGACTTATTTGTCTGTGAATGCGTTTTTTGCCCCTTTAAAGAAACTCGAGGCATTCGGTCTCCTCAAGGGTATTTTTAGCCGATGTACAGTTTGACGATAATTACCGGAAATTCCTGCGTAATTGTTTCCTCGTCTCTCGAGACACGTTGAAAGTGCAATAAAACTTTATAAATTATTGTTTCTGGATTTTTTTATACTCATTTATATCTATTTAAATGATAGATGATTTGATTTTTTATTCATAACTCAAGGGAACGCCAAATATAATTATTTATATGTAAAAATATAAAATAAAACAAAAATGCTTCTTTAGTTTTTATTATCGCGCCTGCAAAACTTTTAATTTGTCTAAAACTTCGATAAACACATTAACCATCACTTTTAAGAAATATAATTTTATTATATATAACTTATGCCTCTCTTCTTTCCATTCTTATAGATGCATTGAGATCGATATCAGATTCTATAACTTATAGTATTGTTAGAGAAATCAAATACTCAAAAAACACTTCGTAGATTTGTTCTTTTATTCTATATACAAATTGCCTCGTGTTAACCAGATTAATAAACACTACTGTTAAAAAAATTTCTAAAAATAAATGAGAATTTTATCAAACATCTACATACTATGACAAATTTTCTTTTTTTTATCGCATTCAAATTCAACATATTTTCGGTGATGTTTAGAGAAAAATGTAGAAAATGTTTACAACCCTCTTATTTACGTCAGATATCTTTTCGGTGCCAGACATCCGCGACGATGAAGAAAGAAGCGGTCGGAAGAAAAGTTTGTAGATTTAAGATCGTTAGACGAATAAACGAGCTCGATAATCGTTGACGGTTCCGACGATGGCTCAGGAAACAGCTGTCGTTAGGGTCATTCGAGGCTGAATTTTCTACTCGGATTTATCGAGTTTACCAAAGCACTGCGATTTCTTGCTAAAGAGCTGTATATCATTCGCTCGTTTCCCGAGAATCCTGACGCGATCTTATGCCACGCTAACAGATCTGCTTTGATCGCTCCACAAGGTACAACGGCCCCACTCGCTCGCGCGAGTGCCGCTTTGATCGTCGGCGAGAGCCAGGCGAATATGTAATTTCAAAGTCATCCGGTACTTATCTTTCTTCGATTCTCCAAATGGAAATCCGTTCTCGGTATCGCGTTATAAGAGCCGTAATTATCGCGATGCGTCGGCCGATAAAAACGGCGCTCCCGGAACGGCGCCTGCGTTGTCTTTTTCATCGTTTTCGTCCGCGCGGCATGCGGTGTTGACCTCGAAAAAAGTAGCCCCACGACGCATAATGAAAGCCTGATTAACTCCAGTTCTTGTCGAAAGTAACAGCGCGAAATGCGCGGCACGCCTCTCGAGAAAATCTTGTTTAAAACTTGTTTAAAACAGCTTTTAATAAACGAGGAAAAATGTAGGCTAATGAAAGCGTATCGTTAATACGAGACAAATAATTTACCAACTTTATTATAATTTCTTATGACTTTTTCTTTGACAGTTATAAAGATTTTATTCCGCTTATAACTTCAAACATAACTTTATCATTTTAACGAGAAAGAGATGGAGAGAGAAAATTTTAATTAGAATAATATATGTTATAAAAATTAAAAAATTATAAAATAAAAATTAATATCCAATCAAGAAAATAAATTATCGCTGAGGAAAAAGTCTGTCTCAGATTTCACATCGCAGAGAGAGTATTATGTTATTAGATTATTAAAGTTCTCTTACACGTGTATGCACGCTTAATTTTAATACATCGTCTAAAGTGGGCTTTACACGCAAGGTTTATATCGTTCATTTGTTCTCACTCGAGGCAAACATATAATTGAAGCAATTTCCTTTATTTGCAGCACAATGCATCGCACCCCTGGGGATGGAGTCGGGCGCAATTCCCGACGCGGACATCACTGCGAGCTCTAGCTTCGATAGCGGAAACGTCGGGCCACATCGCGCACGGTGAGTGAATTACCGATTTGTTTATGCAGCGCATCGCACACAAATTCGACACGATACAAATCCGGAAATTTGATCATATTAACTCCGTTACGGACCGTGAAAAACGCAGCGACGTGCGTACGCATCGCGAGATACATCGGCATT